ATTTATTGTTATTTTGATATTTTATTATTATAGATACATGCGTGTATATTATTATTTGAATTTTATTAAAAGTCATTTCCAGTTTTATCATCATAAGCTAACTATTGGGAATTGGGACATTTATATCGACGGTCGAGAAAAATTAAAAGTTAAAATTAGTCGATAATAATGTGTATCTTCAATCCTCAGACACTCTCTCTCTTTCTCTCTCAATCACTCGTATTTTATTAGATCGAATGTAAATAAACTGTTTTTTTTATCAAGTTCTTAAGTAAAATTGGAAAGCTAAAAGAAAATTAAAAAATTTCTCCGTGAGAAGCAGTAGAATACTCAAAGTTCTGCACATTTTGTTTTTACTTTGCGGAAAATCCATATATCCATCAATTCGGTTCAATGATATAAATTATAACCTATTACACCGGCGGATCGGCCTTTTACATAACAGGTTTAATATGAAATTTTTTAGCACATATCTCTTCGTCATATTTTGTATGTATGTACTGATCATATATATGTGTATATATATGTATGTGTATGTATACAAACCACACACACATACAAACACACACACACACACACCACCTTTCTTTGACAAGTACACACTTGAAAAAAAGAAATATTTGCCAACAAGGTGACATATACATGGCAATATTTAGACAATAATACCTATAGAGACTGATAGAGATTAGAGATCAGTGTTGTATGGAAAGTTAGCGAAGTCGGAACTACCTTCAATATGTGCGAGTGTTTTAATAATCTATTTCATATAAGTTATTAATATAAATAATAATATAACAGGCAAATTGTTTAGTGCAGACAATTGTAAATATTATAATTAGTATTGAGATAAAATCGAGCTTTTGTTCTTTAGAGAGAGAGAGAGAGAGAGAGAGAGAGAGAGAGAGAGAGAGAGAGAGAGAGAGAGAGCGATTTAAATTTCTTTCGATAGATAATCGATTGCACCTCTCTTCCATTCGTTGCATGGAGAATTCGTGCTATTTCAAGGATGGCAATCTCTCATTCGTCGTCGTGCATTGACACGAAAACGTAGAAATTCAGCCATTGAGATCGATAGAATTTCCTTTCGCGTCCGTACCGGCTTCTTTACATGTGGAGAACCTACGAGAATAGTTCGCGTTTTATTTTGGCCCGTCCCACACGTCTGGCGCTTCGCATGAACCCCCCGATAAAATGGAATGGAATATACGCGAAACCGCCCCCTGTTCGTCGCGTATATAAGGAGGGCGTATGTAGTTGCGGGAGGGGGCGCGTCTCAAAAGAATTCCTTTTACTTCGATCCATCGTCGATCTCCTGAGGGAAAGAAAACGCGAATATAAAGACGACGCGAGATTACTTTGAGGCTCGGCTCGTCCTCCCGAGAAGAAGGCATATCGGGATAAAACGTAAGGATACAAACCGGAAACCGTATGAAAAGTATTTCCGACACACGCGGGAAATCACATTGCCGTAACGGCAAATGTGGGTGTAAAAATCGTAACTGTACAAAGGACAAAAGCGTGAGAAATAGAAACGTGGTAGAGAGTCTCTCCCCGTCGTTCCTTTCGTTTCTTTTTATTTTTTTTTTATAATTTCTCGAAAAGAAAGGGCATTCTTCTTTACGATCCTCGAGCACGATGAACACGATGATGGTCCTCTTTCTTCTCCGTTACCGCCGTTTTACAGCTTGGTGATTGGAGGAGAAAGACTCTCTCGCGCATTCATACGATTATTGCATTTTCGTATGAATCTTTCATGCTTTTATCTCCGAACTGCGGAATGCACATCCCGAGAGAAAGCAGGATGCTGGAGAAAATATGATGAATTAATTAACACCACAAAGCTTATACGTCAATTATCGGGCGCGTCTTGCCCGAGTAATATTGATTATAACGATAAATGTCTTCAAAGAGTTATGTGATATTAAAGTAAAATTATATAATTTGAGGCGTGATCGCCGATACGGAGATACACGGAACCGCTCTTCATCGTGATCGAAGGATCGACGGGTTTTTCAAGATAAATTTATACACTGCCGTGTGCCGAAGGACACCGTTTCGAGCGCGGATCGACCGATTGCCGCGGCCGGTGGCGCATTTTTCTTCGAGCCCGGGCCACCGTCGATAAAATTAACTCGTTCTCCGAACAATTGTTGGAAAAACTGTTTCTCGTTTTAAATATATTAAAAGGACTCCTAATGAGGAGAGCTCGCATGTAAAGGTCTGCGCTTCGAAGCGCAGATGCGCCGCTGATCGCCGTCCTTTTTTTTGCGGCGCTTTTTTCGTTGTTGATTACCAGCAATTATTAGCCGATCGAGAAGCGATATACAGTCTACGAAGGCGTGCCGTAGATAAGGAGCTGGTTCGACCCGATGAATAATATTTGCAATTTAACGAACTCGCCGTGCGCGGAATAATCTACGACTGCGGAAAGACACTAGATTTAGCGATGTCTTTTGTTCAGCCTCTGTACGTTTCCGGCGAAATCCGTAGGTATAAGATGCGAGGATGTTGTCGACGACGACGACGATGACGACGACGACGACGACGACGACGACAATGGCGATGATGTTGAGAGAAGAGTGTGTCGTTTTTAAGTTCGTTCTTGTCGATCGTGGAAGTGTTACGTTATGCATTGTTTGTATTGTGTCAAAGTGAATTATACGCTGTAAGAATGACATGTTCGCGTTGTCTGTACGGACGAAATATCGTAATAATAATAAATCATTGCATTGACAAAAACTCCAAATGGAGCACATACTGCGCTGTTTCATTTGTAACTCGTAAAACACGCCGGCGAGAGGAATGAGGTTTTATTTCTTTTTTTTTTCTCTCTCTCTTTCATTTTCGATCGCACACGTCCCCGGACGGTCGCGCCGCGGCGCAACATTTTGGTTTCCGGTGCAACCTTTGTTCTCGGTGCGACATACCGTCCAATCGAATCCTCTGCCAACGGAAGAAACGGGAGGAAAAAACAGTTGACCTTCGCAGACGGAGAGGGATTCTTGCGACAATAAAAATCTCGCGCGTTAAGCGAAACTGTGGTTTTACCGAAAAAAAAAAAAATATATATATATATATATTAATATTGATAAATTATACACAAAATAGCGCACACCCCTCGCACGCGAAGAGTACGACTGCTTTGTATCGGGATATCTTCTCCGTGCAGACAAACGGGTCTGTGGCTCGCGATCAGATCTAGCAAGAAGAATCTGTCGCGTTCGTATGTTAACGTACAGCGTCGAGTGATGCAATGACGAGATCATTATCGTGATGCCAATGGCACGAATGTGATAACAAACACAGAATACGCAAGACGTGAGAATACGCGAAAAGTCGAACAAACAAGTCAGATCGAATCGTACGGGTGTAGGCAACTGGATTTATAGTGGGGAGAAGCGAACGTGGACCCACGAGTTTAATTACTATTCTTACACGGTTGTTCTATTACTTACGTCTAATTACCTGCAATAAAGCCTTGTCGGATGAACTTTGCGCTGAATAAAATGTCGTCGTGTATTTTTATCGTACATCTAAATGCTCTAAATGCGGGTCGTCTAACTGACGATTTTTATCACGAAAACGGCATTAAAATTAAGTAGAACGGAACGTTACGCGTCTATCGCTAAATGTATATGCCGAAGATAAAGTATTTGCGTTCTCACAATCGCGGAAACTACCTGCAGAGCGATAAGAATGGCGTTCCGTACAGAGGCGGATCTTTGCGCATTAGATTCTTTGTAGATCCCTCAGAATGATCCCTCCCTGTCCTCCCGCTATAAATCCCGAGAAGTAATGAACCGCAGTCGAGGCCAAGGGGCAAGCCGGCCGGCATTTGCGTTTTTCCCGTCAGAGACGTTCGTTTTGCGCCGTTGCGCGTCGAGTCCGGGTTTTCGGTCAATTTATACACCACACCGACTTTTCTACCCCCTCCTTCCTTTCGAGTAGCCACCCCTACCCCCCCGGGGGTGAAAGGATGAGCACCGCGGTAATGCGACGAGAGACCCCCCCGTTTCTCCAGAAACCGCGCGACGAGCGGGGCTATACGGATATGTATTAATTAATATCAATACTTCTCTCACACGACTCGAGAAAAAGTCCGGCCGCGACCGCGCGAGTCCTCCTCGAAGAGAAACAAGCAAAAAAAACGCTGCTTCATCCGCGTTCATCTTTTCCCAAAAAAAAAAAAAAAGAAGCTCGTTGTAAAGTAATTCCATTCGTGTTTTTAGTCGATAGGCGAAGTCTTGTAAGATTTACTTAAGGAGGCGCAATTCACCCAGGCCTAAAAGTCTGTCGAAGTAATGCAAAGGCGATAATCGCATTTATCCGCTCTCTTTATTATTATTATACGCGGGTTCTCGAGGGAGCCCCTCCCCCGTTCCTCCCTCTCGAATCCTTCGACTGTACAAATATAAAAAAATCGCGAGAAAAAGAATTTCCCATCTCTTCCTCCCCCCCCTTCACATACCGGCCGAAGTGAGATAAAAAAAAGCGCGAGATTTACATGACGTTAAAATTTTCCGCGCGCAAAAAACGTCGTCCTAATACCTTCCGCGAAAGCGACAGGAGATAAACGCGATGGCCAGAAATCGAGGTGTACTTCGGCAGAATAATAAAATGAACTCTGTGAATTAATTGTGTAATAAAGCTATCCTACGGTACTGTGCATTCACACTCGTAAAAAATATAAAAAAAAAAAAGAAAATGAACATACACCCGACACCTATATATACATATATGTATATGTATACATGTATACATATGGATAAATATATATATATGTATATATTTGTCACACACCTGCGATAAATATATACATATATATGTGTGTTGTTGAGACTCTATTGAAAGTATGATAATATATTATGGATATTATAATGAGAAGATATTATAATGACATTAAGATAAAAACTATTGAAAAAAAATTATTAATGTAATTGGGAGAATGTAACAATAAAAAAAGTCGTAAGAAATAAAATAAAATAAACTATTACCTCTTATAAGTTAATGTTTCTTCTACCCTACGCACATCTCGTTTCCAGCTGCAATTACCTAATTACAGAATACCGTCCTAGTAAAATATAATTAAAGGCCTCCACGGAAAAGATATTAAAATTCCATTATAATACTTACATCGAGTCACTTATATATAAATGTAGATATAAATATATTAAATCGATATTTTATATATATTAAAATAAATTTTTATTATATACGCATCGTTTGTACCAATATTTACAGATCTAAAAAAATGTATGTACAATTGCTTAACATTTCAATCTCTTCACATTCCACTTGAGTTGAAATTCATGCTTATTTCCATGAGATTACCATTATCGCTCATTGTCCCGAGAGTAGAGTATTTTATCGGTACTTGATAACAAAAAAAGATCGCTGCATGTATAAAATCATTGATCGGAATGACTTGGTCGAGTAGAGGATGGAAGCTATTGAGTTGGCATTGTGAAGAAAATCAAATTGCACTGTGTGATCAGTCAAGCTTAATAGAGCGAGATAAGATCACAAATTGACGAAATACCATATACCGAGTATAAAAGCGTTGAAGTACTTAGCCCTTTGAGTATCGTGGGTGCATATTACGCAATTTTTTTTTAAACAATTTAGCTTCATGAAATTCATGTACATAAATAAATTTATATATATAAATAAATATAAATAAGTAATATCATATAAGTTTGAGACAAGTATTTTAGTAAATCAACCTATATATCGCGAATAATTTTTCGACATAATTATCTTATTCGATAAGCACGAAAAACAACACAGAGTTTGTTCATCATCAGCTGGGTTCCAGCCACAGTAGAACTCAGCACTCAGCTCCGTACTCAAAGGGTTAAGTGATACGCTTAAACACGTATAAGATAATGTTTCCACGATTAATTTGTCTATACATATATATAAACATTGGATTTACTTCATCAACCCGTCTGCGGCGAGTATTTTGAGCTGCAGGTTAAAATACGTATAACAGCATCCTCTCTTTTAATGAAATGTTCATCGTATACTCAAATATACTATAACTGCGTTGACACTCTTTCGTTCGTTTACATTATACAAATGGAAAGGGAGTGGAGCATCTTTAAATTATCTTATTACATATTACGTCTTTTTTTTTTAGTTGACTTAAAAATACGATACCCGGCTCTTAGAAATAAATATAATCGCTAGCGAGTTTTGTAGTTAATAACGTACTCGTACTGTCAAGATTCGTGTCTTAAGATTACCTTCAAATCGTCCGGCAACACATGCGTAATATCGTTTATTCTCTCCCGCAGTCTCTCCCTTACCGAGTTATCGATTGGTACGTCATCGATGCAGCTTCTCTCCAACTTCTGGCGAATTCTGAGAATCATATCGACCACTTCCACCTCTTGCTTCCCCTGCACCCACGTCTTCAAATCCTGTCCATGATTATTGCATTGATGAGAAGAGCTTATAATAGAAACGCGCGTATTGGAATCTTGCAGATGCAAAAGAAAATCAATATTCATACCGCCTGCGATAATTTCTCCAACTGTTTAACTTGCAACTGTTGACTCAGCTCCATGTACCTTGCGTGGAACCATCCGGAGAAGTTCGGCGATCGAAAGAATCGTTTGTACAGCCCTACCCAATCTCCTTTTATGCCTGTAGTTAATTGGGGACCGGAGCTACTTAAGCTAGCTAGGAAGTCATCTGGATTGAACATTTGTGGTGTAGGAGTTGCCTGACAAAAAAAAGGGGGTTGTCTCGTTACGTGAACTGATTCTACAAATCATTGATCGCTGGTAACCGATTTGCACACCTTGAAGGGTGATATGTTCTTTTGCAGTGGCATGAGGGTCGCGATGTATCTCTCGAGGGGAATCATGAAGCTCTCCGTTAGCTCTATTAGGTGACGTTTCAACAGCAAGGTCTGCACCTCGCCCGGCCGTTTCGTCTGAATGCCCCTGAACAAATTCTTCAGTATAGTCTTGTCCTTCTGCAGGAAAGGTTTGTACTGTGTGTAAACGCCCGGCTTCGAGTCCAGCACCTTCAGATTTTCAGATCTCTTGATTTTGTATTTCTGATCTTCTGAAATATCAAATCCTGAGCACGTGCCGTACACCAACCATTAAGAGCGCCATTAGCACTTACCGCTGTTGTTGCCGTTGCTTATCCGAATGATGTGCGGCCAGTGTTGCAGCGTCTTCGCGAAGAACGGATTTGTCACGCCGAGGATCACAGCAGGCGGCGCCGGCGAGTCGGTCGTGTACTCCTTGAATTCCGAATCGTGAATGGTGAAATACGGGCGGTGATCGGCGCAATACTTCAACGGTGCGATCATGCTGGAGAGAACGTTTTCCGGTTATACATAAACGTATTGTGGATATACAGGATGTCCCGAAATTTGCGTATCAAAATACCACAGCAAGAAAGTCTTTCGAAAAATTAAGTAAAAAAGTTACTTGTAAATTTGTATTTTTTTAAGCAGTAGTTTTTGAGATGTAAAAATTTAAATTTAGCCAATTATAGATTACGGTTAAACGGAAACGTGTCCGTGAGTAGCGCGTCGATAGTGTGTTAATGTTCGCGAACTTCACACGCGCGTAATCTGACAATTGACCAAATTTAAACTTTTACATCTCAAGAACTGCACTGCTTAAAACAAAAATTTACAAACAACTTTTTTAACTTAATTTTTCGAAGACTCTTGCTACGATCTTTTTCGCGAATTTCGAGACACGCTGTATATAACAAGTCTCTCAGACGTCTCGGGCACTTACGCTATGAGCGCTTGAACCATCTCGGAGCATGTGGTCGGCGAGCCTGCCATCACAACGATTGGCTCGCTGAGGATCACCAGTTCCCACAGTAAATGCACGTAACTGACAACGCTGGCCAGACTCCGGAACATGTCGCCTTCGTAGGCTGATGTCAGTATCAGTCTTCGCGTCGAGTGCACGTTCGGGGTGTGCTCCATGGCGGCGATCGACGGAACAGCGGCTTTGTAATTTTGATTCGGGATGTACGTCTGAAATAATCGTATCTCTTGATACACAGAGAGAACGCACATGTTTTATATACACGCGTCGACTTGTGTAACTTTTAAGTCTAGCTTACCTGGAATAGCACCCCGATAAGAGGTAAGTGAACCATCTGGCCTGGAACTGGAGGTGGCCAGTGATCGATCTGGTGCACCACGGCTTCCATAAGCGCTGTTCCCGCCTCGAAAAATTCCGGCGCGATTAAAGCACATAATTCACCGAACAGATTGACAAATGGCAGTTTCGTAATTATGACGACACTCTGGAGAGACAGAAAAGCGGGATATTAATTGCGATTAATTGCGAATTAAATTAAATTGAATTGCAGCCCAAATTTGTCAAATTGTTGACACACACCTTTTGAAAGTATCCCCTCGGCAACGACTTATCCTTCACTTGTCGAAAGTATACGTATCCCCAGTAATAATCTCTATCAGTTTGTAGAAAAGAAGGTGATTTCCTGTCGTATTCCTTGAGAGCATTGGTTTCTTGCACCATTTTACTGCTTTGCCTTATTCTTACGTGATACTGAGTATCTCCCATGCATCCAGAATTGGAGTCGGGGAAGGCTAAGTAACAGACATTGGATCTCTCTTGCTCCGATAATTTGACATGACTTGGATAAATTGCCTGTCGCACACGAAAAAAAAATCATTTGCAATATCTATAAAGTAAGACTAGCACATTTCGCTGTACTTTATTAATTAAATGTATATTAAAAAAAAAAGAAGATAATTTTCTAGATGCAACAATTTTCTGATCGCACCTCTATAGCTTGACCCAACTCGAGATCGAAGGTAACGATGCATATACAATGCACCCAGTTGCTGAAACGTTCCCATTTTCCGTACGCCACCTTATCCTTCATAGTAGTTTCAGTTTCCAGTCCTTTACTTGTTGAGCAGGAAGGAACTGACATTGTTCTCTCTTCTATTTTATCTATTCCCTAACTAATCCAGTCACTTGTCTCATATACTAACTACGTGTGTCATTCATCATTGTGCAACATGATTATCTTCAGCTGCATGACACTCGCACCGGCACTTGGCTTAACAATTATATGTCATGTTACAATAGATCGCATAAAGATTCCGAATGAGCTGAAATACATAAAATCTCATCTCAATATTATAGCAATCTTAAATAAATCTGCGACAATCCATTGACTCACCGCTGTAGATATATATATATTTGCATATATTACACGCTGTATGCATCAACTATATATATAAATCTCTTCTAGTTCTCCGCACTAACGTTCAAACATCCTCTACGACTACGGCTAGTCTTGAAAAATTCTGTACCCTGTTTGGCGATGTGTGTCCGAAGGAAAAAAATCAAATTCGCATGTACGGTCCCCCCTCCCCCCTGGTACTCCAGGAGCGAGAGTATGTATCGCCTTCTCCGCTTGCTTGGAGGCCGAGTCAGAGGCTGGTCCAGCCAGGAGTAGACACGCTCAACGCCACGCGACGGGTGCGTCTACTTGCGTCGATGCGCTTGGCCGTGCACATGCCGAGGCCCCCATATGTTTCCCGTCTCCGGACGACGACGATCTGCCGAACAGACAACAACACCAGTCGAGCTCGCGTATGTATAATCGACGCCGGGGCTGACCGGAGCCGTCCGAGGGAGCGTGACAGCTGTGCCACCTTGACATTCGCGACGCACACGCGACACTCACCCCCGCCTCGTCGAGGAGAGTCTTCATAGCTCGTTTGGATACCCAGATGTTTATAACCTCCGTTACGGCGATCCGCGGGGCGCTCAGAGAATCAGCCTCATACCTCGCGCTTCTCCGCCCTGAGGAGCTACCACAGTCCTCTGCGACGAGTTGCTATCATCGCGCGTCTGAACTGTCTCTTGGCCTGTTCACGGTACGGTTCTCTCTCTCGGCGAATCCCGAGTAGTCCCAACGGGCGAGTCTCGACCAGTCTCGACCAGCGAATTCGACGGGCATGCAGTGACGGGAGTCACGGCGGGAGAAACAGCGAGAACGGGGAGGGTTAGGTGCCTCTCGATTCTGAGAGCAGCGCTACCTGAGAAAGTGGTCCAGAAAAGCAATTTGTGGCTGCCGAGGATCACTGGGATCCACAGATTTCTCTTCGCTTCGTGGAGTTTTGCGAAAAAAAAAAATATACACGCATGTATATTTATGTAAATTTTTGTGAAAGCTTTGACACTTTCATAACCTCGCGTATTCGACCACGACGAGCACGCTGCGCGAGTCATATGGCAAGATGAGTGTGTGCGAAATGCATCATTCGTAAGTTTCTTACAAAACCATGTAAATAGCTTATTGATTATTGTATTTATTATATTATATATCTGTTTAATATTCTATATATATATATATATATATATATATATATA